ATGAAAAAGCATGGACTATAGCCCACCAAAATGGCCAAAAATGACCGATTTTTCATGAAAAAGGATGAACTATAGCCCACCAAAATGGCCAAAAATGACCGATTTTTCATTAGAAAGTACGGACTATAGCCCACCAAAATGGCCAAAAATGACCGATTTTTCTTTAAAAAGCATGGACTATAGCCCACCAAAATTTCCCAAAATGACCGATTTTTCATCAAAAGGCATGGACTATAGTTAACAAAAGTGACCCAAAGACCGATTTTTGATCAAAAAGCATGGACTATAGCCAACCAAAATTTCCCAAAATGAGCGATTTTTCATCAAAAAGCATGGACTATAGCCCACCAAAATGGCCAAAAATGACCGATTTTTCATCAAAAAGCATGGACTATAGCCCACCAAAATGGCCAAAAATGACCGATTTTTTATCATGCTTTTTGATAAAAATTCGGTCGTTTTCGGACAGTTTTGTGGGTTATATTCCATGCTTTTTGATGAAAAATCGGCCATTTTTAGCCATTTTGTTGTGCTATAGACCATGCTTTTTGATTAAAATGGGTCATTTTTGGCCATTTTGGTGAGCTATAGTCCTTGCTTTTTGATAAAAGAGCGGTCTTTTTTGGCCATTTTAGTGGGCTTTAGCAATGCTTTTTTATAAAAAATTGGTCATTTTTGGCCATTTTGGTGGGCTATAGTCCATGCTTTCTGATGAAAGATCGGTCGTTTTCGGCCATTTTGGTGGGTTATAGTCCATAATAATATAAATCGGTCATTTTTGGGTCTTTTGGTTTGCTATAGCACATGCTTTTGGATCAAAAATCGGTCATTTTTAACTCGAAGATTGCGAAGCAATCGAAGAGTTATTGGAGGGGGACGAATCTGTCACTCACTCACTCANGTTTTTGGGTAATTTCATCAGTAATGAATGTGGAGAAATGAAGCCATAATGTAACTTTAAGCTCTTTATGTTGGAAGCCCACGCGATCATGTGATCACTAGTATTCGTCGATTTGCTTCAACTTTGCTCTGGTATTCTGGTTTTCCTTGCGAATAATTTTTATTAGGCAAACTCAATTTTTTTTCGCCCACCAACATTGAAATTTATATTGTTTGCTTAATAATTGAACTCCAAGTTTTCTCAGGGATTTAGTTGTTATTGTTTTTTGACACTTGCGGTGATTTTATTTGTTTTTCGGATCCAGATGTAGCGCTTCTGGTCGTAGCAGCATTTACTCATAGTTGTAGCTCGAGTGGTATTTTGTGTTTATCCAGAACCGAAGTTAAATTATAAAACTATATTCATAAATCGTTTATTTAAAATTCTATTCGTTAAGTAATTATAATTTGATTCATCATTATATCTTTCTGTATTCGTCTGCACAATCAATCTTCGAGTTGTGTTGCCATTGGCGGCTTGATTGGCTAATTTGGTTGGGTATAGCCGATGCTTTTTATCAAAAATCGGTCATTTTTGGTGATTTTGGTGAGCTTTTGGCTATGCACTTTATCAAAAATTGGTCTTTTTTGGCCATTTTGGTGGGATATAGTCTATAGTTTTTGATCAAGAATTGGTAATTTGTGGGCCTTTTGGTGGATTACTTATAGTCCATGCATTTTGATCAAAAATCGGTCATTTTGGCAATTTTTGTGGGTGATTTTGGTAAGATATTGACCATTGCATGCATTGCCTCAATTTTTTTTTCAGGCTGAAACGTTACTAAGATCAGTTTGGAAACCCATAATTTTTTGTCTTCTCTGTCAATCATCTTACAGTTCAGCGAATCAGATTCCTCGTAATCAGCATTAGCCAATCACATATCGAGAATCAACTCTCCGTTTCGTAATTCATCTCTGCGATAGAATGTGATCTTGATATTAATTCAAAGTATCAAAATAGCTTCAATTCTTATCTCTAACAAGTGTGAGCTATTCATCTCAGGCCCATCGAACTCTTGATTTGAATGAAGACCTTCCAGGACATTGTAGTTTTTAGTACAAACTACTTATTTTGTAATATGACTTTAATCCTATTTTTAAAGACTTTTTTAAAAGACTTAAAAGTCTTAAAAAAATCATATTTACGCTAACATAACGTCCATAGACATGCACTAAATTCGTATTACTTTCACCGTGCCGCTATTTAATCGGCGTAAATTTATTAAACTGATTGAGTTCGCTCTATGTTTACATGTGATAAAATTTATAAGTTAATTACGCACTTCACACGAATAGCGTTGCGTGACAGCAGAGGACCGTTGCTTTAGGAGTTTACAACCGGTACTATGACTGAATTATAGAAACGTTTTGTTCCTGGAGCAAATCGAAACAATAAATATCCAGTTTTTTCAAAATAACAATCACGAGGCATTGTAAACCTTCTGATTTCAACGAGCCTTCCCCCCGGCAAGCTTAAAAGGTCCGGTGTTCTTCAGTTTTAATTATTGTTCTATTTAAAATGCTTTTGAACTGAAATGAGCTGGTTTTAGATAGTAATTTCTTTGAACTGCTCATACTAGCAGCCAGTTCTTACACGCTATACTGTGAATTAAACTAATTTATCAAACATTTAATGTAGATCC